CGGTGATGGTGAATGAGCTATCTACTTAGGATGCGAAGAAACTTGCACTAATTATATAATTCATGTTTTGCATTTTGTCAAATAGAATATTCTGCTATAATCTATATATTGCTGTATGTTGCTAAATAGTAACCAAAACCTGTCCAACTCTGTTGGTCGAAAGGCTTTGGCTTTGGTAACTCAAACTCCATTGGCCTCCACCTTCTCAGTCAATGGCCCACGCTGGCGCCTCGTGTGCAGGGCGTCGGCAAATAGCGATGTAGCATTAATCTGGAAGAAAGTTGGCTTGTTCAAAGGAGGTGCAGAAACTGTTGCGCCTACCACTACAAGAGTAGACTCATCTGAACTAATGCAGCAATTTCCAGCACTCACAACTTCACCAGCCCTTTCAATCGTCGACCAACGAGAATACACAGAGAGTTTGCAGGGTCAAACTTGATGCATACTCTGAAGATGGAGCGGCTGGAGCCTGGAAGAATATCCCATATGAGTCTCCTCTAGACTCTAGATGTGTCCCTTGTTCTCCCCCTCCTGCGAGATTAATTCCACAGCTTTGGAAAACTAGGGACCATTCTCTGCGCACTTCTGACACCCAAGCATGTCTAGGTTCAGCTCAAGGTCTAAAAGTCACCCACTGAACTTGGGGTTGTGTGTTGCCTGCTTGGGGAGGACGCGCAGAGTAAACCTGAAATCCAAATGCCCGGCTCGCCTCTTGAGCCAATCGATCATGCTTTCCAGCATCTCAACACAGTCCTTTTCCAGAACATCCTTTCTCACCTGGCACCCAAAAGAGTGCATTGAGGCCTTCACAAGAAGTCATGACATACAAGGACGCATGAAGGCGATCACTTAACCACAAGAGCTCCCAATGCAATTCTGCTGCAGGACTTGGCATTATATGTTCCCACAACAGGCGACAACATCTTGAGAAAGCTCTTCAGGACCCGCTGAAATGACTTGCTGTTCAACACCTCGTTCATGTGACTGTTCTGGCCCCCTGAGGCTCCAAACACAGCTATCCATGAAGACGCCAGGTTGGAATTTGTCAATCACCAGCACCTTGGAGGGACCGTAGATATCCGTAGATACTCTTTGGAATCTTGATGGTGATGCACATTGCACTGAGGTGCCAGGAAGCTAGTCGACACAAAGTGGAATGAGTCAAGCGAGCTTGGCGCCAGCTTCAAAGCTCCCTTGCAATCATGCCACAGATTGCCACGGTCCTGCCAAAAATCTCAAAGAATGAGACTCAGACATTAAAAAAACGTCGATTGGCGGGTGACAAGCAACCCAGGTCATCCCGGTTGCTCCTCGGAGAATTCGGGCTTGATGAGCTGCCTGATCCAGACTTGGAGACAAACCCACTCCCTGCCCGCAGACTGACTTGCTCTATGTAAATTGCCAAAAAAAGTCGTGCTGGTCGAAAGGGCTTTGAAGCTGAAACGGAGTCACAAGCATCGATTGTCAATTCATCCAGCCCCCGATTCCTCACTCTCCGGCCGATCTGCCAGCAGAATGTGGCAAACTCCTGCAACATGCCAAATTGACCGGTGCGCGGAGACGAATGGAGGTGATCACCAAGGCTTGCGCATTGCATTCAATCGACCAACATTTAGTCATAGACATAGAACACCGCCCCCACCCCAATGAAAACCACGTTAAGACCTGGCCGCTGGCAAAAACCTATGTGACTAAAACACCCTGTGGAAACCTGGTGAGATGTTCACGTGTAGACCAGGTGAAAACCGGTGAAGCTGATGATATACACATGATGACATTGACATGAGTATAGCCCTCGGTAGACATGGAGAGAATAGGCATGGCGCGTGTAAACCTAGGGACCTAGTGGGTGATAATGGGTGGTACATGTTGGTACAACTGGCACAACCCTTGTTTGTTCACCCTCCGGGACTGGAGACACAGGTCCAGATGAGATGGGTGCTAGAACTCACCTGACGCCAGTCCCATTCAAAGGAGTCACCAATTCCGGAACTAGAGCTGATGTTTAACTGTTAATCCTTTTCCAAATGATACCGCGAGTCACTACAGCGAGTAACGGTCTCCAGGATGGGGAGATCTGAGATCTGAGTACCACCCAGTTCGTGCACGAACAGCCCATGGCAATCTATGCGACACAAACTCTTCTTTCAATAAAGAACCAAACTGGTAGGAGTGAGCTAAACCGATCCTGGGCAATACGCTCTCAGTTGAGTGCCATATTATGAATTTGGCATGAATAAGGGGACTTTGCTAGGCTTCCTGCAGTACGTGAACTGTCTCAATAGACAAGCTGACAACGTTGGTCTAATAGTCTAATTAACGATGTATTGACCGCAAATGGCAACACAGAATAAACAAAATGTGGGAACAACAGCATGACGCACAGCTCTCCGGTTTGCCTTTGCGTCGCCATCATGTACGCCTTCCCGATATCCGATATCCAAAAGCCATGTCCTTTCGAGTGAGATCTTCCTTCTTTTCGATGCTGGCCTTCAACTCACTCAGCTTTGTTTCTAGCTCCTGCGCAAACAAATGCTAAAGCTTGCTAAAGCACCAGAAAAAAAGTTTGTCCTTGATCACAGGAGGAAAAATATTGGCCTTAATGAGTGAAGTGTCAAGATCTCAGAGCGCTGCATGTGCCACTAAGGTTGGCACCAAGGGATTCATTGGCGGCCTTCTACGTGTGTCAGAGCCTGATACAGCAAGGGAGATTTGGCTTGTAGTGCACAAAAGAAAGGAAGATTCTCAAGGACAGAATGTGTAAGCCACACAGCACTGATACAGGTCCTCATTAGGTCTTCTAAACACATAAATACTATATATCAGTTCAAAGACGCTACTAGGGGCAAGGACGCTACTAGGGGCTCCTGGCATCGCTACTAGGAACAAGGGCCTTACTACTAGGAACAAGAAGCTAGTAGAAACAATATATATATATATAGATAGATAGATAGAACTTAATTAGAATCAAGTGTAATTAGAATCTAATTGGTGCCAATTAAAGAGACGAGAACTTCTTCGACTCTTCCGGCCTAAGCAGGCTCGCCAGTCGGCTCACCATGAGTCGCAGGGCCTTTTCCTTCAATGAGCCTTCTGTATACAGTAGATTGAACATGAAGCTATTAGGTTGGAGGACATCGCTACTAGGCTGGAGCCTTCTCTATGAATTGTGGAAGGAGCAAGATCTCAAGGCTTAGGATCATGGATCAACAAACGATTCAAAATGATCGTGGAGGCGACACCAAGAGTATTATCCCACATGGTGCCCTTGAGGCGGTGTTTTCGTTTGCCTCCATCAAATGGATCCCCAGTTCTAAGAGATAATCAATCTGCCGACTGCGATCAGACCCAATCGTCCCCGTTTCGGTTTTGGTACAGCACAGAAGTATTCTGCAAAAGAGTGTCAAAGGGTGCAAGCTCCTTGTTGCGCTTCTCCTACCCCAGACGATCCTAGAACTGATCACGTCTTAAAGCGTTGCCATGAAGCCTTAAGCAGCAACACGCAGTCGACGAGCTGAGAGTAAACACCATCTGCCTTTCCATTGCTGACAACTGCGTGTACAGCATGCGGTGGCTGTCGAATGTCTTGAAAAAAGCTTCTCGAAGATCCACTGTCCGAGCTGTCACAAAAATGTTGCATGGCTGTCGGTTGAGTCGGTTGTTCCTTTTTCAGTCCACGCTCTGTACATTCCATGGCTCAGCACCTTTGAATGCCAGCTCTGTCACCTTGCTAGCATGCGAGCAGGGAACAAGCTTCCTCCACTTGCCAGGGTCCTCCTGAGCTTCAACTTCCCAAAGAGAACAAGACCATGCGTAGACATAATCTTTCTGGAGGCATACTCAAGCCAAATCATCTGAGAGCATGGCTGACTCATCAGGATGAACAGAACGACCCATGTCACATGTGTATCGCTGAGCTGATTGCTTAACCAGCCACAAGCTGAATTCAAAAAAACTTCTGGCTGTTGCGCCTATCCCTCATTCTGGGACTGGCCACTTTGCCACTTTAGCTAAGCAATACTCCTTGCACGGCCTGCAGGCTTTCAACAACTTCATTGGAAAGCTAGGCCACGTTGGCACTCAGGCATTGTGCAAGCCTTCCCGAACCTGTGAGGTGAACAAAGATAACAAAGTTACTTAAAGTAATGTCAAATTTTGTACAGAAATGGATCGCCAGTCAAACAAGCAAGGGAACGCTTTGTGCCTTGTTCTGATGATCCAACTGCCCAACTGCCCCTGTTCGCTTAGTGTCCCAATCAAATAATGAAATTGGTTGACCAGCTCAATTTATATAAATGACAATGCACCCACCGGCCTCCTGCGGTCGACCATCCACCTGGTGAGCTTGAGGGGCACATACCAACCAATCGAAGCACCTTGGACTCAATGACTATGGATACGCCCTACACCGAAACAAGACTGGCCTTACCTGCCACTAGGCTTGGGGGGATGGACATCGCTAACCTGTTACTACGAACGAAAAGAACACGAATTATACTTGATCTTTCTTCCCAGCCAATATGTTTCTTTGCTTTCCTTCCGTCTTCTTTGGTCCCCACGCCGCGAGGCTCTGCCTCAACCATACTTTCTCCTATCTTGTCAGCGACGGCCATCCCCGCGGCCCTGCCTCTTTCGGTGGCTTTGGTTGAGGTCCATTGATGAGCATGAAGGCCTTGGAGTTGCGACTTTGCATCCTCATGAATCGCAACAGCGAATCGATCACACCCAATTGATACCATCATCATATGATCACATGTGACATACCATGATTAATGGTCATGTTCAAGAGGTCTATGATTCTTTAGGTTTCAGTCAACTTCCATTCACTCACAACTATCGAAACTGGTCATGTAAAGTCTCCATTGGACTATCCACCATTTCTCTGGTCCTGCACCCTCGGATCTGCTTGGATTCCCCACTGCTTGGGCATATGGATTATCGAGTTCCTCAAGCCACAACCTGCCATGGGAGATCACTGCACATAAATAGGGCGAGCTGACATCTTCAATCTCCTGACGCTGATCCCTTCTGCTCCCTCAATCTTGTTGATTCTCCATCCAATTAGCCCACATGTTCTATGCCCTCCAAAGTGTCTATATATAAAATATATACACATACACAATCATACACATGCTTTTCAACACTCTGTCGCGGTCTTCTCCCACACCACGGTTCGATGTTGAGCTCCTGGATTCCATTGCCCTAAGGCATCCAAAAGCCAAACATTTGGCTCGGCTGCTTGGTCCCCCCCTTTGGATCGGTCCCAGGTCTGTCCCATGTCCTTTCGAAGCGCCTGATCACGGACGTGAGAGGAACTGAAAGCACGGCACCGGCGATTCCCCAGACCTCCAGCAGTCTTGGAGACAGACAGACAGACAGACAGACCGGCAGTCCGACCGGACGGACGGACGCACAGACAGACAGAGAGAGATTTTCTCGTGTTGAGTTGAGCTTAGCTGAGTTCCTTGGGTCCTTCCGAAGTTCTTCCACCATTGAAGAGCTGGTTAGCGATGCAAAACTCTGATTGTGGCAGGTCTGATTGTGGGATATCTTGCGCTGTTCTTCTCCAGCAGAGGTTGTTTACATATATAGACTCTCATGACTAGGAGAAGGGGCTGAAACATTTCGACGGCCAATTGCCTTAGTGACTTGTGAAGGATGAACATATTTTTTAACAAATCAATCTGTTACCGATGAACATCTCGAAAGCTGTATGAGCGAGTGACATCCAGTACATACACACCCAGACCACTTGCATACCTAGCATGGAGATACAAACGTAGAGGTGCCTGAGCAAAGTTCGGTTCGGATCGCATGGAAATTGTGTTTCCTTCCAACCTAGTAGCTTCTTGCTACAAGTAGTAAGAATGCTCCTAGTACCGATGCCAGGAGCCCCTAGTAGCGCAAGGATCCTAGTAGTAAGGCCAGGAGCCCCTAGTAGTTTCTTGCTACTCAGGCCCCCACAGAACTCCAAAAGGTCAACGCCACCACCACAATCAGGGGATGCAAATCCAAACCTGGCTGGGTGCTGCGGGCTGGTCGTCTGAGTCAATGAATAGTAAAGTCTGGAAATGTTGAGATCAATGTTCTGGCTCAAGCTGGAGCTTGCAATGCATAATGCAACCCACATCAAAACCACAACATATGATGGACTGATTCAAACAAACGACACTCAACAGGCTGGCATGCAGGATTGCAAAGTCTCCAACTGTCAAAAGCATGGTGCCACGGCGCACCATGTTGCATGAGCTTGTTCTCGAGAATGCATCCTAACCTGCAAGTCAGGCACGTATGACTCTCGGCAAAGATTTATATAAAGAAAATGTAAATAAATATAATATAAGCAATATTAAACACAGCGCGGAGGGCCAACCACCCGGTCTCTCAATCCTGGGTGAATTGCACCGAGCCACCAAACCAACCAAAGGCTGGGCTCCAGGCACATTGTGAATGATGAAGGGAATGAGAAAAACGAAGATCGCCTCCATAGAGGCCAGCTTCAGAAACTGCATCTCAAAGCTATGACCGTGCACCACACTTGTGGCAAACATCCCTGCTTCCCAGTCCCAGCATCAAAGTAACTTCATCTCCTCGAAATACGCATTTGGAATCACCGCCAGCATTTCAGGCACAACTTTCATGATCTGCATGTCCATACTGGCACCAAGTCCAGTGCAGCAGGCCTGTTTCTGTATGTTCGTGGTAACCCCCAACAAAAGCCGGGTCTAAACCACATATCCTACACCTGTCCAGTATGTAAACATGCTACCTCAATCAGGGTCAAGGAGGTTTGCAGAAACTGAAGGATTCCCCAAAGAAGCGAAGATCTTTCAAAACAAAACGGGCCAAAGCGAAGGGTCCCCCTCCCTTCCCCTTCGGACGCCTCGCTGAATCTCCGTTCTGGGTCCAAAAGGACCAGTGGCACGGGCAGCAGCTCGGCAATCGCGGCACCAACGTTCCTCAAATGGTGGGGCAACCAGGGGTACGCAGTGGTAGATTTAGTGGGGCACCTAGTGTTCTTTGAGCATCGACACCATCTCCATGGCCTTGGATTTGACTTCCGCTGATTCTATGTGGTCCATCTAGGATCTGTGGCTTTTCTGTCGATAGGGGATAACGTGGCGGGGAACTGCATTTGAATGTACAACTTGCGTGTCGCAACACACAAGAGGTATTCTTTGTCGACCTCCCTTCAGACCAGCTTCCGTCGTTGTGGGATACCATCACCTAGCAAGTGCCTACAACATCCTACAACACGGAAGCCAGCCACCCGCGTGTTGAATCTAGAACCCACATGTGAGGCTACTGAATGATCCCAGAATGCACATCAATGCACAATGCAGAAGGGGACATGCCCAAACAATTTTGTTCAGAACTTGCCACCATTGCCGGCATTGCCTTGACTTCTGCAACAGTCCACAGTCTTCTCAGCTTCTTGATGTTGTTGGATTGCCTGACATGTTGTTGGATTCTGGCCAGCGGCAGCCTTGCAACTGTCCTTCTTGACCTGGCTTTTCAACCACACATTGCTCCTTAGGCCACGGTTCGGAATGAAGTTCAACATGAAGGTCAGTATTCCGAAGACCTCAGCTGAGTTTGGCTGTCTTATTTAGTTCACCTTGAGATTGCTAGCTGCACTAGTCACTAGTAACTAGTAGCGTCCTTTGCTCGTAGTAGTAAGGCCAGGAGCCCTAGTAGCTTCTTGTTCCTAGTAGCGATGCCAGGAGCCCCTAGTAGCGTCCGATCGCTCCTAGTAAGCGATGCCCTTGGTTCCTTTCGGATCCTTCGGCATGCCAAAGGGGAATGAATTGTGGAAGACAGATTTACGCCACAAGCCACGAGCTGAATGCCAGGAGAATCGGAGCACGTTAATCCTCACAGGAATCACTTCAGGTCAAGTCGCGAATGCAAGGTCCACCTGCATGATTTGCAAGCAAAAGCCGCACGCACACCCGATAATTGCACTCGAGACCGTCTTCCACAGCAAGTATCTTTGCATCAAGTGCTTGATACCACGCCGTTTTCTCCTGCATCGTGCCAAACCAAAATCCTTTGACGTGCAGCGATGTTGCCACAAATCATTCAGAGCACAGAACTTATAAACTCCTGCATATATAATTATATATA